AGCCACCCAGGTGCCCCATAAAAGAACTTTTTAAAAAGTTCCCACATGTTACATGTGGGATAGAGAGTATTCCATTAAGTATATATATTGGATGGGATAGAAAGAAACAATAAGCATAAAAATAAAAGTACCACGTGGAGGAAAAGGTACCGTGGGTGTGGGGATGGTGAACATAGAGGGTGGAGAGCTGCGGAGGCTCCAGAAGGCTCTGTGAAGGGGAGGGCCTGTGTTTGCACCTGCCATCAGTCTTCTGTCCCCACAGGTGACTGTGGTCCGGAACTTGGAGGCCTATGGCCTGGACCCGTGTTCAGTGGCCGCCATCCTCCAGCAGCGATGCCAGGCTAGTGCGACCGTCACACCTGCCCCTGGGGCCAAGGACAGCCTGCAGGTCCAGATCCAGGGAAACCAGGTCCATCACCTCAGCCGCCTGTTGCTTGGTGAGCATCCCCTCTGAAGGAGCAGAAATCTTCCCACCAATTCAACTCACGCCAGTCGTCATAATCTTTGTGGCCATATGGTTCTTGGCCAGCAAGAGTTGGAGCTAATACTTGAGCCAGATCCTTTGCCCCGCAACCCCCCCCCCCCCCAAATTCAGAACTCTCTCCACCATGCTCTCGGAGTAGTTTTCTTCCTGGTTCTCCCTTTTATAAAACATTTTTTGAGCATCCAGACTGGGCTAGGTACTTTGCTGGGCTTCATGCAGGCATGATCTCTCTTAATCTGACGATGCTGCAGAACTGTTTCTGTTTTGCAGATGAGGAAACTGAGCTTCGGAGAGATTCAGTACCTTGCCCTGAGATACTCAATTGTTTGGTGTTGTAGCCCAGCTCTGAACTTTGGTTTGTCACACTGTAGAGCCTGAGTTCTTTCTACCACGTCTGGGGCATCCAGCCTCCAGTTTGTCCTCAGTTCACACCATATCTGTCTGAGTCAGCTTTCTAAAACAAACGAGATCGCATCACTCTCCTGTAAAAACTCCTTATGCCTTGTCACTGCCTTCAGAATAAGTTCCTACACTCAGTAAATAAGACCCTCCCAGTCCAGATCATCTTCCCCTCGGGGTCTCTGGCAGCTCTCTCCCCCACCCCTGGGCCTCTGCCATGCTGCCGCCCTTGCTGTTCCCCAGATGTGCCAGGCACATTCACACTTGGTGCTTTTGTCTCTGTTCCCTTGCCTGGTGTGCCCACCCTCCCACAGCCCACATCTGCCCAACCACATCTGGGCTCATTGGCCCAGCTTAGGGGTCAAACAAAGCCTGTCTTAGAGCAGCCCCACTCTTTTTCTGTCCTTAAATTAGCATTTAAGAAATTGCCAATGTATCACTTTCCAGTTGTGTTTATGTTTCTGGTTAGCATCTGCAACTTGGCCAATTTTTCCTAATATTAGCGCTCTGCTAGACGGAGCAACTTAAGTCAGAGACCTTGCCTTCATCCTTTTCGTGCTCAGGGCCTGGCATAGTAAATGCTCAATAAGCAAATGTATTTTAGGGCTTAAGGCAGGACCCTGTAGCTAACTTTTGGAGTTGACCCCTTTAAGTGAAGAATTCCTATCTGAGATACTAAGAAGAAATACAGAGGAAAATAGCCAAGCACATGACTAAACACAGATGCATACATTCTGTCTCATGAGAAAATTATAAATGCCTCAAGTATACCCTAGAAAGTGGGTATCAGTGTGAAAATTGCTAAAATACACGTTTCAGCCATGAGGTATAAGGATAAATGGTCCATCCCAGACCGCTTCCCAGAGGAGCTAGGTTTGAGCTGGGTATAGAAGAAGCGGTCACATGATGAAGGTTGATTGAACGGAAGTTCACAACAGAAATGAGCGCACAGTGGGGTGAGAGGGCAGGGAGGTAGCAGTGCCGGTGGGTCAGCCCATGGGGGTGGGGGGCCAAGGGCAGGAGGTGGCAGGGAGGGAGCAGGAGAAGAGCGAGCTTGGAGTTTCTGCTTTTTGGATTGTAGAAGAGTATCAGCTTCCCCGGAAACACATCCAAGGCCTCGAAAAGGCCCCCAAACCTGGCAAGAAGAAGTAACACACTCTTGTTTCATGCGGACAATCCAGTGGAAATCAAGCTCTGGGCTGGTAATTTATATGAGCATTTTCAGCTTTTACAAATGAAACAATATAATTCTTTACCAAAATAAATTTTTATTCTAATCTAAATCTGATTTCCCTCTTGTTTCCTCCACTTAGCTAAAATGTTGTAGTAAAATTTTCAAGTCATACGCCAATTTGTTTTCTTAATATTTATTTATTTTTGAGAGAGCACGAGCAGAGGAGAGGCAGAGAGAGAGGGGGAGACACAGAATCTGAAGCAGGCTCCAGGCTCTGAGCTGTCAGCAGAGAGCCCGACGCGGAGCTCGAACTTGCAAACCGCAAGATCATGAGCTAAGCTGAAATTGAGAGTCAGATACTTAACCGACTGCGCCACCCAGGTGCCCCAGTCATACGCCAATTTAAATTGACATAAGAGGTTGTTGTGGAGTCCCTTTTCTATACATGTGATTTCAGTGGGTTTAGTGCCTTTCCTGCTTTCAAGGCCAGATGGCCCATCCGAAGCTCAGGCAGGTAGGGACTTCCAGTGTTTTAAAGCCCCTCTAAGCAAATAGTCCACAGCATCTTGCCCCAAAATAGTGCCTTCACATCTGTAAAGGGTTAGTCGCATAGAAGCAGGACTCAGCTGTTCTCTGCCATGGAGCAAGGCAAAAGAAGAAAGTCTTGGCCCTAAGTTGCAGCAACATTTGGGCTAGATAAAAATAAATCCTAAAAGCACATGGGTTTCTCAACAATAGCGACTTCTTCCCCAGCGCTGGCACGCTGCCACTGGTGATGGTAGATTGTGATGTGGCTGCAGCATGACGGCCTTGTCACAGGGAAGAGTCTTATCCAACAAATGCTTTCTTCAGCCCTGAACTTCTTAACTGGGGACTCATGGAAGAGGTCTTTAGTTGGTCTTCAGAGGATCTGTGAACTCCCTGAAATGGTACACAAGATTTTTTTGTATGATCCTTTTCCTAAGAGAGGTTATCATGCTTTTGCCACATTCCCAGCAGGATCACTGCCAAAAAGGTTCAGAACCACCACGCTGGTCCGGAAGTCACTTCTGTGACCAAAGCTCTCCTTGTACAAAAGGAAGGAACGAGAGCGAGAGCGGAGCTGAGAGTCCTTTGGTTTTACCATCAAAAAACAATTAGAGTTCAATTTACTTCTTTCTTTCCTTTCTCATCTCACTGTTTGTTTTTTTTTAATTGAGATAAGAAAGACTTGAACATATGCAAATATTTGCAAATTACCCATCTGGGGCTGGAAAGGAAGAAAGGGATATGAAAGTGCGTGTGTGACACCACCTACCTTTCATTATTAGACCCAGAATAATAGTGCTAGTCACTTGTGACTTGCTGTAGGTAAACCCCTTAATTTTACTAATCCTCTCTCTGCCAGCACAGGCATATGGAACCTAGGAAGGGATTTTGGAAATTGACCCCAAACGAGGTCCTATTACAACAAAACCTTTGGACAGACAGTTTGATCTGAGGGAGTATGGTGTGAATAGTAGTGATGAAATATGGTCCTTATATGAATACAGATAACATGTAGTACTTTATAAGGTTCTTTCACAAACATGATTTGCTTTGCACAGTCTTGGTGGGATTGGAGGCTCAGAGAGGTTGTGTCTTGCCTTGTTGATCTCTGTTAAAGACACAAAGCCAGTAAGCAGTGAGGGTGGGTCTAAAATAAACATCCACTTCTAACTGTGATTTAACCTAGAATTCTGCTAGGACAGTCCTGTCAGGACGTGTGCTTTGGTTTTTCCAGTAATGATGACACATTTGCATTAGGTCATCTTCCCTTTCCCCCTGGTGAACGCCACAGATACATACATGTAAGAAGGCTGGGGAAGGTTAGGCTGTTTAATGAATTGGGGTTTTGTTTGTTGGTTTGTTTGTTTTTCCTATGTGCTAAGCCAAACACTATCGAGGTCAAATCCATAACTTTGAACTTATTAATCCCATGCAGTTACCAGATGAATTTCAGTGAAAAGCAGAAACTGGTTCATGTCTAGGTTTTGGCAAAGTTACTGAAAGACATACTTCTTGGCGGTCTAGATGAACAAATGTTACAGATGTGCCCCATTCTTGGGTAACTTTAGGAACGTCTATTGGATACAGTGTTCTCTCCTCCAGGGAGATAGAGAGTGAGCTGGCTGTCACCACTGGAAGGCAGGCAGGAATCTCTCTTAACAACTTTATGTGGTTGCTTCTGTGATTACAGAGCTGTTTCTCTGACGGAAGTTAGATAATGCTAATATGAAAGGGTCTTTTTACTCACCTCATTTGCCCTCCTCCAAGGTGAGCTGATCTTAAACTCTCAGAGGCACGTCCTATCTGCCTTATTTATTTATTTATTTATTTATTTATTTTTGGTTTATTCATTTTTTGATAGAGACAGAATGTGAGTGGGAGAGGGGCAGAGAGAGGGGGAGACACAGAATCTGAAATGGGCTCCAGGCTCCGAACTGACAGCACAGAGCCCGATGGCGGGGCTCGAACCCACGGACCATGAGATCATGACCTGAGCTGAAGTCGGACGCTTAACCGACTGAGCCACCCAGGCGCCCATATCTGCCTTATTTTTAAATAATTCGAGAAATAGAAGAATCCTTGTCCACATCAGTAGTCTGTCCTCATGTTTAATCATCTTTAGCTCCAGAAAGCTCCCTCCTCTCTTCTCACTCAGGATCCCCTTCTGTAGCACATCCCCTTTCCTCTCCTGCTCTGGGGGTGTGCAGGACAGCCGGTCACCGGGGCAACACCCTCTGGCCCATGCGTCCCGTCCGTTTTCTCCAGATTATCTGAAGAGCAGCCTTCACTCCTCCGTTCACTGGCAAAAGGGAATGTGACTCTGCCAAGAAGCGCGTGCCCTTCCCTGTTCCCACCCTCTCTCCCAGCTCCCAGTTTCCCGGCGATGGTGAAGGCCAAAGGTGTCTCCAGTCTGAATCCTTTTTGCAACAAGCTTTTATTACTTTTTTTTAAACCCATCTAAGAAAGACACTTAAAAAGAAAATATCCTCAAGACAAACACGTACACACTGGGCAACACAAGGGTAGAAGGCACTACCAGCAGTCATACTCACCTCTGGGGGGGGAAGGGATAATTCACACAGACTATGTTCCAAGGCTCGGGACTCGGCACGGGTCCTGGGTCTAACTGTGCTTTAGATAAAGTCGGAATTTTCCCATAATCTTCTTATTTCATAAACACCCCTATCTCTGTATATATAGCTATATGCCCTTACGTATATATGGACGTGACTTTTTTTTCCTTCTCAAAAATAAAATGGCCACCCCATCAGCGGGAGGCCCTCAGCAGCATTCACAGTGGCTGCAGCAGGAGCCGTGCCTTCCATTAATGTTACAGACATGCAGCATGAAGGAAAAAGGGGCTCTCTACCCACTCCCTTTAATATACAGCAGGGAGAGATTTCTTAAGGGAGGGAAGCGATAAGGCTGAGCAGGAGATGGCAGATAACCAGGGTGTGGGGAGCGGGGGGGGTGGGCGGTTCTCAAAAATCTTGAGCTGCTAGCTCGTCTTGCTTCTGCAGCTTTGAAGACGACACAGTTTGGATGACAAGGGGTCAGCATTCCTTCTGGGATCAGGGGCAGTGAGGATGCAGCAAGGGTCAGGGAGGGGACTTCTGAGGCTACACAAGCTGGGGCTCAACCTGACCCAAGCAGGACCTGGGAAGGCAGAGGAGCGAAGAAGTGATCTCTGAGAGGCTGGATGGGAAAACCGTCCCTGCTTTGGAAGTTAAAAGTCCTTCTCCCTCCGCACTGGAGTGTCTTCGCAGTCCTGGCTACTCGCTTCAGTTGTTTGTCTAGTTCATTTTTAAGTTTGCACCTGAACGGGGAGCCAGTACAGATGTAAGTTAGGAATCTGACCCACCCTGTCCCTGCGGTTGACATCACTTCTTGGGAGTCAAAGCCCAGGATCTCAGATGGGAAGGTCTTTGACTCTTGCACCAGCCTTGGAGGGAGGGCTCTCCTGCCTTGCCCCCCACACCGCCGTGGGCCACTTCCTGGCAGGAGCAAGCCGGCAGTAGAGCATCAAGCAAATGCACCCTGCTCCTCTCTCTGAAAACAAAAAGGCACTGAGGTCAGCGGGAAGCCAGCCCACAGGCTCACTGAGCACAGTGCCACGGGCGGGCCGGGCTTCAGAACACAAAAGGACTCCCCTGGTGGCTGAGCTGGAGGTTCCCCAGTCTGTAGTCAAGGTGCCTCCTTGGACAGCACCTGAGTCCTGGTGGAAGCAGACAGGCCGTGCTGCAGCCCAAGGGGGACAGCAAGGCAGCCAGGCCCTCCCCAGCTTGCTAGCTGGGGGAAGGCCAAAGGCAAGTTGGACACACTTCTCTGCGACGTCTCTCGGCTTTCTCAGACCGCCTGATTTCCATTCTCACAGGAGACATTCAAAATGGTGAATGGTTGGTTTCCCTTTGGTGGAAACACATGATGATGGCAATGTCAAATTCAAAACTGTAACTTAAAAACAAACACTTGTCTGTTCACGACAAAGACGTGACTGTCACACTTGCGCAGATAACATATGCCTTTGGGTTTACGTGCACGGACTCGAGCGATGAGGGCCAGGGCGGGCTGCGGCTTCTCCGGAAGCCTCCGAGCCAGCCTCAGGCTTTGGTGCTCCCTACCTGAGCATCTGGGGCCAGTGGCTTTATAACCTTCCCTTGAGCATGAACAATGGGCACATTGGGGAACAGTCCTTTTACGAGCATTATCCTGCTTTCCAGGGCTCAGCTCAGATCTGCTAGAGGAATATGCTACAATTTTTGACTCATAAATAAAGGTCTGTGGGCGGCAAATACGAGAGAAACTGAAGAAGAATAAAAGCCAGAGAAAGAACATAACAGCTCTAAAACCTTTCTTCTTTCCTTTACCGGCTGGTGCGAACAATTGCGGTTCGGTGATGACAGAGGCAGCCGGTTGGCTTCCGGGAGGATCGCCCAGGACTGAGGCTGCTCTGTCCCCCATCCCCCTCCTCAGCAGCGAGCGGCAGGCAGCGCCTGGCCCGCGCGCACCTGCGCCCCTCAGAGGTTTCGTGCCACATCTGGAACTGCCAGGTGGGCACAAATGCACCCGCTGGAGGTGTCCTGAGAAAAAGTGTCTGTTGCAAAATAATCATAAAAATAAATCCGCGGGCACCAGAAGAGGAAGCAGGACCGGTTACCCAGGTTTGCCCTGGGATTCTCTTAAGGCCTCCTCCAGTTTCTGCCTAAACTTGTCATACTTCTTCTGCACTTGTTGGATTTTGTCCTGCTCCTCTTTTTCCAGGATCGTGAGGAAGTTCTGGAGCTCAGGGATGGAGAAGGCGTCCCACTGCGAGGCACGAGGGAGATGGGGGAGAAACAGAACAGGAGACAGGTCAGAAGCTGCACGACCTGAGGGGCCCATGCTGCCTCCCCGGTTCACACGGTTCACACACGGTTTGCTACCGAATAGGCAAGTGCAGTGGATAAAGCTTGGGTTTCCCTTGTCATACCAGCAACCAGATTTCAAGTCCTGGCATCTCATGACCAAGATGTACCAGTCCATGTGCGGTGTTTTATTTGGAGAATCAACCGTCTTCCATTTTCTCTGTAGCAGCTGAGACCTGTTCAGATCTCAGATGCTAGAGCCGCCCGGGGCCCATGCTGGCCTCTCTAGCTGTCTGCTGTGGGGCGATGAGCAACAGGCCCTCAACGTGCAGACCCCCAAGAGGCAGATGGAGCTGGACTCAGCCCCCGGAGACTGTGTTTCAGCCTGACTCCACCATGGGATCTTGGGCACATCACTGTGCCCTTCTCAGCCTGCTTGTTCATCTGCCACGGGCTTAGGGTCTCCGCCTCCCTTGGCTGGCAGAGCAGATAATGAGGTAACATAACCTGTAAAGCTCTGTAGAGCCCGGTTGGCCCAGGCCTGCCCCGATGGGACCTGACCTCCCGGGACGGAAGGCAAGCGTCACTGCTCTCAGGCTGACCCAGGAGCAGAGCCCCCGCCCCACTCTGTGGAGCCAGGGGTTTTGACTCCTAAGCTCTTTTGAGCACAAAAGAATATTCAGGTTTATCTAGTTTAATCCCCACATTGCATAACTGAGGAGACCGAAGCCCACAGAGGGAAGGTGGTAGAGCTACTGGGACAGAGCTGCAGCAGCAGAACCGGAATTAGAGCCCCGTCTCTGAACTCCCAGGCCCGTGAGCTTTGCACCAGGCCTGCAGCGTTCAGACGTTTTCAGCAGAGTACTTTTTCCGAAAATCTGACTCCAGTGTGTAAGTCAGATGGAAGCCCAGCTGCCTGACTGAAGCAGGGAGAGGGGACGGAGCCCTAACACCTGCCTAGATGCCCCGAATCTCCACGGTGACCCCTAACCCTAGGCCTCCACTGAACACAGTGTGCCAAACGCCGAGGATGCTCCCCCGCCCTCGGCCACTCCTCCGTGACTCCAACTCCCAAGTATCCCAGGCCGTGCAGGGCGCCAGCCTGATTTCACCCTAGTTCGTGCCGCCACACTGCACTCTGATGAACTCCCCTTTGAGGAAGGAGGTCCGTTTTTAAGAGCCAGGAAGAGACACACGGCTCAGTGTGTGTGGCATGGAGCTTGCTGGGCCTCAGGCCATCCTGGAGCAAAACCAACCTGGGCCCGGACACAGGAGCTTCCCAGTGCCCCTCCACCCTGGGTGTTCAGAAATAAAGCCCATGAAATCCTTTCTTTCCACAGACCTTGCCAGACACAGGCGCTGACTTGCATCCCCCAGGATGCTTACAATCCTGGCTTTGGACACTGAACCTCCTTGGCCCAGCACTTACCCCGGCTCTTTCTCAGCCCATTTTCCCAGCTGCCTCCACAGGGCCCCCAGCTATGCTGGGTAGGGAGGATGACGCCCACGAGGGTGCCCCATCCAGTGTGCCCTGAGGGCTGGGTTTGTGCAACCAGCAAAGGGGCCCAGACCTACCTCCACCTCTCCAGTTTCATTCTCCTTGAGCACAAAGCTGAGGACGTCATTGTCAGGCCCAGCCAGCAAGCGCAGGTACAGGGGGCAATCAGCGATAGAGAGTTTCTGGAAGAGCACTGCAAACCAAGAGAGGGAGTTAGGGGCTCATCGGAGGTGGGGAGGAGGACAGACCCAGAAATAAGATGCAGGGTGGTTATAAATGGAAGTAGCCAACTTCCAACCTAATGAAATAAACCTGATGAGAAGACATAGGGAGTGACCTTTTATTTTTGGTGTCTGCTGAGAGTTGGAAACTTGTTTCCACTAGCATCACCTCCCAAAAGATTAGCAGTGGCAGGCGGGTGCTCTCCCATTCCACAGATCAGGAAGTGGGAGCCCAGGGTGTGGGTTTCCTGCAGTCACGTATAAGGTGAGGGGCACCGAGAGCAGGCGCGTGCTCCCCATCCAGCTCTCTGCCCAGAGTGCCTGTGTGGCCCTTCCACATGGCTGGAGTGCAGTGCCCAGAGGAAGCCCAGTCCTCCCACCCAAGTCTGGCAGGGGTTCAGTGGGAGAGGTGGTTTCTGGCCGGGAGCTTGCTCTCTCATACCTTGCCCGTCCTTGTGTATCCGCTTAAAAAGTGCAAACTTCTGGGGATTGTCCACAACCATGAACTTCTTGAGCAGCCCCTGGATGACCTCACTGACCGTGGTGGTGCTGCTGATGTGCAGCTGCTTGATGGCATCCAGAGGAAGATAGAAGGACGTCCGCTTGTCCGTGGTGGCCGCCAGGTTCACTTCCTTGATGGCATCGTAGATGGACTGGGGCCGGATCCCAGCAGGCACGGTCACTGGCCGCCGAAGTTTCAAATGCACTTTGATGAAACCCGTGTAGGTGCCATCTTCACTCTGAGGAAGAAGGTGGGGGGTGCCCCATGGGTCAGCTCCGGTCTGACTTGCATGATCCTAGCTGCCACTCTGGGCCACTGCCCTGGATCAGGGGCAGGTGGTGGGGTGGTTGCAGAGGCCTTTCCTAATAACAGTGCTATCCCAGTCAGCCCCCCACCTGTCTCCCCGAGTTCCTTCCCATCTCTGCTGACCTGGAGGTGCTGGAGGGCAGAGACACTGTCCCCCTGCCAGCCCCCCATCGGGCCAAGAGAAGACACGCAGTATCCAGCAACCAGGGGGGACACGAGGAGCTGCCGTGGCTTTCGCTCTGGGGGCTCAGGCTCCCTGTCCCAATCCCCTGCCTTTGGTGAGTCCCCACTCCTGGGAGGCAGGGTCTGGAGCGTCCTCTCTAGTTTGCCCCTCCAAGCCAGGGAGGAGCAGGAAGGCTCTGTAAAGAGGCCCCTGGAGAACCAGCCCACTGGATTTCCTCCTGTACTTCTTTCCAAACCAGCAGCCTGCAAGACTTAACGCCCAGGTCCACCGGAGACTGGATTTTCTAGCCAGTTGCTACCAGCCTCCAGCAGGGGGCAGCGTTCTTCTACCTTCTCCTCCCCTTCCCTTCCCACTGAAGATGGCCTTCGCTAGCCTGGCACAGAGTCGGTGCCTCCCTGCTCAGAGCGCTGCACAGTCCAAGGAAGCCTCCTGAGACGCAGGCTGTAACGGTGCAACAACCAAGAGGGAGAGGACGAGGAGCTGCGAACCGCCCTTGTGAGGCCTTCCTGAGGGCGGAGCAGTACCAGGTCACTCTATATTACTTAAATCTCAGGACAGCTTCGACAAGTGGGCACCAATACCTCTTTCACACTGAAGCTTAGGGACGTTAAGAAGGTTCCCAAAGCGAAAAGTGGGAAGAGCCAGAGACGGATTTGGATCTTATTCTAAAGCCCATTCTTCCCTGCAGCCCCGGGGGTGGGTCCCTGACCGCCTGGGTTCTCAGCCTTGCACAAGCCCCCAGGCCTGGGGAAAGGGGAGGGGCCTCAGAAGGGCCGCCCCAGAACCTAGAGGGGTAGCAGGGGAGCCCAAGTGACCGGGGGCGTGGCCGGGGTCGTGGATGGGGGCGGGCCCGACGCACCAGCTTCATGCCCAGGCAGTTCTTCTCCCGGGTATTGTAGCTGTCAATCTTCTGTTTGATCTCCTGCAGTGTGGGCGGGCGCTGCGTCTCCTCCGGGGGTTTACAGACATTCTGGAACACAGAAGTGAGAGTGGGCACACAGTGGATGAGAAAGGGTAGGACCACACCCTCCCAAAGGCCTCCCTGACCAAGCATAGGGAGCACCAGCACCACGGGGTAAAAACTAATTCCATGGGCTCACGGTGAGAACAATCAGAGGTCAAATTCCAGCGGTGCCACTGCCTAGCCGGGCCAGCCCTGGGGAAATAGCTCTAAACCTCAGTCTCCTCACCTGTGAAATGGGAAAAATAACTACCTTTCAGGCTTGCTGTGAGACTAATATGAACATGCCCAGCACATGGGCACCGACCACAAATCTGGTGAATCAGCAGAGCAGCATTGGCTCACAGAGGGTTGCTATGGAAAACATAGCCTTTAGATGCTAAGGGAGATGCAGAGAAATGCAAGCCGGGGTCCATCTCAAGGAAGTAACAATAGAGCTGGAGAGAAAGGAATGTACACACAGTCCCAGCATATGCTGATGGGAAAGACAGTAATTCACCCAGACCCAGGGGACCAAGGGCACGTGAGCATCAGTTCAGGCCCCACATCACCAGCCACAGAATTTTGCACATAATTAAGTCAGTTCAGCTGATCCTTGAACAATACAGGTTTGAACTGCATGGATCCACTTATACACCAATTCTTTTTCGATAAATACAGTCCAGTGCTGTAAATGTATTTTCTCTCCCTTATGATTTTCTTCATAACATTTTCTTTTCTCTAGCTCACTTTATTGTAAGAATGCAGTGTATAATACACATAACATACAAAACTGAGTTAATCGACTGTTCATGTTATTGGTAGGGTTTCCGGTCAACAGTAGGCTATCAGTGGTGAAGGTTTGGGGATGTCAAAAGTTATACTCAGATTATTTATTGTGCAGGGGGGTCAGCGCCCCCAACCCTGACGTTGCTCAGGGGTGAACTGTATATATTTGTCAAACAAATGAGTGAACCAGAAAGGGACAGGGGGCTGTCCTTCTACAATAATTGAAAGAATCAGCCTCCTCTCCTGGAGCATGGGGACAACCAACATGTTCTCAGCACCCCCTCTGTGGTGAGAACTTGGCATGCACGGTCTCTTCATCCTCATGAACCAGAACTCTGTGAGATGGAGTTTATTACCTACGTTTTACAAGCGAGACAACCAGGACTAAGGAGTTCAGTAAGTTGCCTAGAGCCCTGTGCATATGTGCAGAACTGAGAGGAAATTCCCGGGCTGTTCTGTTGAGTCCTTCCCAAGGGCTCCCCTGGTGCCCTCTCCCCCTAGGGAAGGGTAAGGGAAGAACAAAACTGAAGAAGAAGCTGGGGGTCAGTGTCCTTCATGCTGTAGAGGGGGTTCGGGGGTGAATTCTGGGGTCTCGGCAACTCTGTGCCTCGTTATTTCCGTGCATTTCTCCCAACCTCCCTGCCGCCCAGCTTCTCAATCTTGTCTCCATGCTGCCTGTGTGTGGCCCGGAGTGCAGGAGCCATGGCTTGGGAAAAACCCACCCAGAACTCGCCTGATTTTAGAAATCTAGCAGACTCAACGCGGATCAGGATTCTCCTTCGGCAAATGAGGAAACAGGCCCAGAGAGGCGGAGCGTCTGTGTTCTCCTGGCTGCCTCCCTGACACCACCCTTCAGGGGTGTGGTTTGGTCGGGGAACTTCACACCCACCCTGTCACGGCAACACCACCCAGTTGAACACAATGGGTGCCCCCAACAGAGCCCGCCCTGGCTGTCCTCCCTCCAGCAGGCTGTCCATGGAGATTGGGCACACCCAGCAGGATGCCCTCACTTCCTCCTCCTGCTTTCCCACCCCCCTCCCCGGGGCCGATAACATGTTCTGTGGCTGCTGTGGTGAGCTGGCGTGGCGCCCACCCCCGCCCCGCTGCATGGAGATAAGCCCACACCCCTTTTCCGTCGCAGCATCTTCCCTTGGCTTGTCTGCTCCCCCCTGTACTATTCCTCAGGGGTCCTGAAAATAACAGCATTGTGCTATGTGCTTTCACATACCTTCTGTCACATACCACCTACGCTACTCCCATTTTACAGATTATAAAACTGAGGCTTAGAGGGGTTAAGGAACAGATCTGTGGTCCCACTGCTAGTAAGCAGCTGAGTAGAGCAGAGCCCATCTAAATCTGCAGCCCGTGTTCTTCTTGATTCACCACCTGGCCACTCTAGGCAGCTTCTGCCACTCCCATAATGCCCGCTGAAATTCCACCCCTCCAGGCTGGGGTGTGCAGCTGTTAAACCAAGGCCTGTAAACTATGGGACCTGTGAAACATTCATCCAAGGTGTATCTGATGAGTGGGCCAGGCCCCAGAGGCATCAGGACCCACGGGCACCGCAACACCTGCAACGACGTCAAGGAGGGACTTCTCATCCCGCAAGTGGGATGCAGCTGCCAGGAGGCAGGACCCACCCTTTTCCTACGTGGCCGCTCAGGCTCTTGAACTGGACCTTGATCCCATCGAAGACCACCCAAGGGGGAGCACAGGCCAGGGCATCTCCTGTTTGCTTGAGGTAAGTAGCAGGTGATACGAGCCTCACAGAGTGTCTTCTTCATTCACTGTCAATTCATTAACCCAGCTCCTCAAACGGAGCTCCTGATTCCTCATCCGTTCCCACAGTTAGTTCCTGGAGACACACACTGCCCCAGAAACCCTCCCAACCCTCCCCACAGCGGGGCTCATCCCTGTGGGGCCACGTGTGCCTAGCGGAGGCTCAGCCCTGGGAGCTTCCGGCCAGAAAGACCAGTCATCTGGTTACTACCATGTGCTCCCCCCTTTCCAGCCGTGAAGCACACAGGCTGTCCCCTCCTCAGGAGTTCACAGCTTTCTCAAACTTGTCTACAAAAAAAAAAAAAAAAAAAAAAAAGTTAAATGATGGAAAGGAAACTCTCGAAGCTCCTGAAAGATCTCCTCTCATAGCTTCCAACTGGCTACAGCCATTTCCCTGTCAGAAAAGGCAGCTGTGTCACAGCTTGCAAAAGCCGATTGTTCCGGGCTTGGGTCTGTACACAGCAAGAGGCAGAGCTACTGTGACTAAAGGTTTCTTCTTCTTCCTGTTCCCCTTTCCTTCAGCAGATAACCCATCTATCCGCCCCCTTTCCCGCCACAAACCTGGGGAAGTGACGCAAGCAGCCGAGGTCACCCCTTCCAGGACTGATGCAAAAGACAGGCATCCTGGTCTCCCCGCCCCGTCGAAAGTGCCAGGAACCCTGTGTGGCCAACACGTGGAGTCCCCCAGCCTGGTGTGTCAGCACCTGGGGCCGCTATGCTTGCCGCCCAGACTGCATCTGCCAGACGAGATCTGACCCATGGATTGGATGAAGCACCGGCCAGCCAGGCCAGCCAGCGAGCCAGCCAGCCACAGCCACGGGAGCTCACTAATCCCTTCCTTCCCAGGGATGATACAGAAGCGAGGCCAGTGGTTCTTTCTTTCTTTCTTTTTTTTTAATTTTTTTAATGTTTATTTATTTATTTTGAGAGAGAGAGAGAGTGCAAGCAAGGGAGGGGGCAGAGAGAGACGGAGAGAATCCCAAGCAGGCTCTGCACTGTCAGCCCAGAGCCTGATGTGGGGTCCGAACCCACAAACCATGAGATCATGACCTGAGCCAAAATCAGGAGTCAGATGCTCAACCGACGGGGCCACACCCAGGTGCTCCTAGGCCCATGGTTCTTAAATTTGGCTACACATGGAATCATCTAGGGGATCTCTAAAAACACGGGGCTCCATCCTGGAGATTCTGATTTATGGCCTGGGGTCCAGCCTGGGCAGAGGGTCCAGCCTGGGGTCCAGCCTGGGCAGAGGTAATTCTGATGTGCAGCAATGTTTGAGAAGAACTGGTATAGACCCCTCGCAGCCCATTTCAGATCCCAAGGGTCGCCATCCAGCAGCAGAATTAACACTTGGCCACCTACAGATATTCACTGCCCGGAGGTTTACCTAAAAGGAAGTATCTGCTCTGTGAACAAGGTCAATAATACAGTAATCTTCAGAGGGTAAGGCAAAGACCTCAATTTCTATTCACCCGCCAGATTTTCAAGTCCTCAAAGTGAAAGATTTGTTTCCGTTCACGGGTACAAAGCTAGAAACCACGCAGCTAGCATTTTGTCTCCTAGGTTAGCCCAAGATGGAGACAGAACGGGAACTCACTCTGATTGAACAAATACCGGCATCGGCCTGCGAGGTGTCCCTCGTAGGGGGTTTACACATCTCGGTGCATCTGGCATGGAATTCATCCGCTCTGATTAAGCCGCTGGCATCGGTGGCAGATGGTTTAGCTGCTCCCGATGCAGCTGGCACATCCAAGACACTGGTGAAAAATAGGTTTGTGCTCCCACATCCTAAGCTATGGAAAGGGCTGCGTTGCCTCTCAGGGCTCAAGTTTATTAGGGTACAGCCACGTGAAGAGGCTAGCTGCTAGGGGTCAGAACAGAAATGCTCCCCCGAGAGAGTGATCCTCAAACTTTTCTATTAAAATATCACAGGGGCGCGTGGGTGGCTCAGTCGGTTGAGCGTCGGACTCTTGGTTTCGGCTCAGGTCGTGATCTCACAGTTTCGTGAGTTCGAGCCCCATGTTGAGCTCTGCGCTGACAGCTCAGAGCCTGGAGCCTGCTTTGGATTCTGTGTCTCCCGCTCTCTCTGTCCCTCCCCCATTGGCTCTCTCTCTCTCTCTCTCTCAAAAATAAATAAACATTAGAAAATATTATCCTTAACATCAAAGTTAAGAGGACCATCCCTGTGGTCTGGGGCCTGTCTCAGAGCAGATTTACCTGAAGTTGAATTTTACTTTAAGAAGAAACCCAGGGGTGCGTGGGTGGCTCAGTTGGTTAAGGATCTGACTCTTGATTTTGGCTCAGGTCATGACCTTGTGGTTCATGAGTTCAAGCCCCCCATCAGGTTCCGTGCTGACAGTGCACAGCCTGCTTGGGATTCTCTCTCTCTCCCTCTCTCTCTCTGCCTCCTCCCATGCTTTCTCTCTCTCTCTGTCTCTGTCTCTCTCAAAAATAAGTAAAAA